TTTATTTTCATCTCCAAAGCTCAAAATGCTCTGTTCCACCTTGTGATGTCATTTAGTGGTAGTTTTCAAGTTAGCAACTGCCTTTAGTTCAATACAGATTGACAATTCTAGGCATGAAATTAGCCAAATTATTCTAGTGAAGGTGTATGGAGTTTAAAAACACAGTAGAGCACTTCCTGTATTACCACATGACATCACAAGGTGGAACAAGAGTGTTTTCTGTTTGAGAGAAGAGCTCAGCCTAAATATGCAGAGTTTGCTTTAAACCTGTAAATGAAACAAAGCACAACTCCAGGTTTGTGTGTGATGAGAAAACAACTTTATAACATAGATCACAAATAACGTAAGGTTTGGTCTCATTAAGATTTTACATTTCTTTTTGTGGAAGTCTTGGTTTCAATACACAGTTGTATTTATCAAGGTAGGTTGATCAAGAATAACCTGTGTGCTCATTTTGCATATTACCTTTCAAAAATGATCTCCACTGTACTTTTGGAACTGGTTCTTTTAGCTTCAAGACATTCTGTTTTTCATCTATGTTTAGGCAGTTGTCTAATCCTGGTTAGCCCCAGTTTAGTCCTGTTTTAGTGTTGTGTTTTTCCTTCATAAGCCAATAAACAGATTAAAAGATAAAAGTAAACTGATTTTGTTTGTTCACCCCTTCTCAGTCTGGATGGAAACCTCCAGCGGCTGCAGTCCCTGTGGCAGACTCTGTTCGTGGACATGAAGAGCCTCTTGTCCTGGCAGTACCTCATGAGAGACATCCACATCATCAAGACCTGGAACATCTCCATGGTAACGCTCACAAAACTATATATATATTAACCACTATTTGTAAAAACTGTAACAATGAAATTTAGTGCAGAATGTCAAATGTAAGTAATTAATATGATAGATATTTTATTTATTCCAGTGGAAATTCATTAGGTAAATTAATAATTTATTATGATATATTACAATAATAGACTGTATATGTAAATTGCTAACCCACTAGTCGCTGCGTTCTTCCAAATAGGAAGCGTTCATGGGTGCGCTTTTGGCTCCATTGACTCTGTTTCCAACTGACTTTACATTAGAAAATTGTCACCCGTTTCTCCATACCTGCTGCAGTGAGCCTTGTCATTTTGCTCTTAAAATGTTCGTATTAACCCGCTCTACATGATCCTGGTGTTTCATGCTTCATGAGGTTCATTTGACTGGAGCCAAATGCTATGGGTGACGTCACACGTCACACTTGGTCCAGTTCTTTATACAGTCTATGGATCTTACCCTCCTCATTCTCTCCTCTGTCTCAGTTTAAAACCCTGCGTGTGGAGGAGTACCGTTTGGCCCTTAGAAACCTGGAGCAGCACTACCAGGAGTTTCTTCAGGACAGTCAGGACTCACACATGTTTGGAGCAGAGGACAGGATGCAGGTGGAGGCCAACTACAACAAGGCCAACCAGCACTACAACACTCTGGTGACCTCCGCTGAGCAAGGTATGCATCAATGTACAGGGTTAAACAAATATGGGGACAATTTAGAAAGTCTAAAAGAAGTATTTATTAAAGGGCCTATATTAGGCTATATAATGTTGTTTCCTCATCAAAAACATAACTGGATTTGTGTTTTGTTTCATTTACACATGTTTAACACACAAGCAAATTTCTTTATCAAACAGAAAACACTCCTTGTGATGTCATGTGATCATATAAGAAATGCTCAACTGTTTTTTTAAAATGCTATACAACTTCAATAGAATTATTTGGCTGATTTCAGCCCTGGAATTGCCAATCTCTACTGAACAAAAGGTAAAAAGAGCTGTCAACATGAAAACTACTGCTTCGTGACATCATAAGGTGGAACAGAGCATTTTGAGCTTTGGAGATGTAGACAGACTAATTATAACAAGTCACTCAAACATGTGTGAATGAAACAAAACACAACTCTGAGTATGCTTTTGAGGAGGCTTAAAGCTCACAAGAGTCAAATGTGCATAATGCAGGACTTTAAAAAGTATATCAAAATAGATCCTATATTAAAAAAGAGGGCTTGCATTTCATTCTTTTTTTAACCACTCCATGTTTTCGTGAGACTTCTTATTTTGAAATCCACCCTTGTTTGTGTGTAAGTGACTGTTGGGTTCCTGTTTCAGGGGTTGAGCCTCCAAAAGCAGGTAAGATTCAGACCTGTGTGCACTGAGGCTGGACTGGCACATTTCAAATCATTTTACTCATAATAATTTGCCAGTTTTTCTTCCTAATCATCACTGCACTATCCTCTATGTCTATGGGCATGTTCACAGTTTGAAATTAACAAATGGACTAATAATTGACTATGAGTGTGAAATTAGAATGATCTAACTCTGACTTGTAAAAGCTAAGCAGGCATGACTTAAAAAGACTTGTATTGCACAGTAGCTCACATTTTAAACCAGAGCACCCTGAATAAATTGAAATACTTTATGTGCACTATGTAACTTTTTGACTCTGCCTGGAATGTTCCACAGTATGACATTAGACAGCTCTAACTTAAATTTATTAAATTACAGGTGGTTTTATAGCTCAAAAATACCTAGAAAAACAGGTAGGATAGGAGTGTGAGTGGGGTTGCCTCTCCACAGATCTGACCTGTGACTTGGTTTGATTCGATGTTTAATCCCATACTGTGTAACATTCCAGACAAAGCAATTATATCCCCATGGAGAAAAGTATTTGAAGGACCCTCCACCGGAAAAGTTACACAGTGCACCTTTAACATATCAGCCAGTATTGTTATTCGTATGTCTATGTACAATGTAAAGGCACGTGTTAATAAATTATATTGCAGTAAATTTGTTTTAGTAGTAGAAATAGTGGATATAGATTTGGTACACACAAAATGCTAATTATTGTATATGTTTTGACTGTGGTATTTAGTTAATAGACTATAAACTAAAATACTGGTATTCAATTGCATGTAAAGAAAAAAAAATAGTCAGTATACTATGTGTGTGCATTTAAAATCTAGTACATATTGAATAGTTGAAATATTGACAATTCAAATTTATTCACATGTGTCTTATCTTCTCAATTTTGAATCAAGTTTAAAATTAGACATCTAGACATTTTACAATTTTTAAGTCCTAAATAAAACAATGCCTAGATGCCTACTTTTTACTCAACTTAAAATTTCACTTTGGTATAACTTGTCCTCGGGGATTAAAAATAAAAGAACAAACAAAGTTTTAACGTATTATTTTGTTGTTTGTCGATGTTTTTCACACATTACTCCAGGTGAGCAGGATGAGTCTGTTTGTAAGACTTACCTGTCAAAGCTCCAGGACCTAAGGTTTCGTTTGGAGGGATGTGAGAACCGGACCGTGACCAGACTGAGGCAGCCTGTGGAGAAGGAGCCCCTCAAAGCCTGTGCACAGAAGACCGCAGAACAGATGGTATGTGATATAAGATCAACCTGGAAAGACTCAGACAGACACAAATGCAAAGCTAGTGGAAAGTTAGTAAGCTTTATTGGATTTATAATCTTTGTCGTTCAGACCCCAGCAGAAGACATGTGATGAAGGGCGTGATTAGTTGATGAGAGAAGTCTTTCCCCCCGGGCTTGGACATTGAGGTGGTAGAGATGAGGCGAAGGAGGGTGAGAGGGATGCTGAAGGATGAGAGCGAGGGACGATGGGAGGAAGAGTGGGCACTAGGGAGGAGGTAGGGCACGGCACAAACTGAAGTGGCAGAGCAATTGCAATGGGGTTTTAAATTAGGCAGAGCTGATTGGATGAAGAGGTTCAACGAGCTACGGGGAGGAGTATTTGGAGTGAGGTGATGAAGGCTGAGGAGTAGGTCAACTCTGGAGAAGCGGTGAGGTAGACAGGAGCGGGATTAGGTCTTTCAGGCTGAACTCACACTGGCTGTTTAACATTACTATAGCAAGGTTTAAGGTTTAATATTATTATAAAGTATGACTGGGCAATATGGTAAAAAAACAATCAAGATTTTTTCCCCCATATTGATCAACCTTGATTTTCTATTCAATCGTCTTCCAAAATGCACTACCGCTGCAGACAGAATCAGATGTGATGTATGTGCCTTAAATTAGGTCTTAAGTTTCACTCATTAATGGTGTGAAAATATTCATTTACGTTCCATAACTTGGATTATAAAGATGAGACGCACCAGAGGAAAGAAAAAGAAGAGAGGAGGAGAGGAGCTGCGCCTGGATCAGAGATAGGGAGAGGGAGCAAGGCAGACGACTCCACACACACAGAGACAGAGGGAGAGAGCCAGATTGTGCAGATTTAAGTCAAAATTTACGCAAGAACACTTTGGGGAGACATGAAGAAGTGACGTGCTGTGATAAATTAATAGAGATAATGGAGAATTGATTAGTAAATACGTGAATCTAATTTAAGTGGATTTTTCTGGTTGATTTGACTTCATGTAAACCTTGGTCCCTTTTAGCCTCTGACAAGATGTTTTTATCTTTTTACGGTTTTCTCCCTGAACAGAAAGTGCAGTCGGAATTGGAGGGTCTGAAGAAGGATCTGGATTCAATTGCTGATAAAACAGAGGAGATGCTGTCAGCTCCTCAGACGCTCAGCTCTGGTCCAGTCCTGAGATCTGAACTGGACCTGACCCTCAAAAAGATGGACCACGTCTATGGGCTATCCTCGGTCTATCTGGACAAGTAAGACACAATAATATTGATCCCATTAATTGTATGTGGGGTCCAATTTTAGTAGGGGTTTATTTTTTACTTTGATGCAGTTTTTTTTTTTTTTTCATTAGACATTTTTTTTATTTATATTGATAAGGAGAATTACTTGGTCGCAGTAGTTCATAAGTGAAACACATTTAAAGAGCATATAGAGTAGTGATGATCATTAAATAAGTAAACAAAAGACAACAGGGCTGAAATTATCCAAATGATTTAAGTGTATGAAGAGGAGAACTTCCTGTATTACCAGATGAAGTAGAACTCAGCCTAAATACGCGGGGTTTGTGTGTTAAATATGTGTAAATGAAACAAAACCCAAGTCCAGGTATAGTTTTGGTGAGGAAACAACTTTATAAGATAGATCTGAGAATAGTGTAATATGGGCCCTTAAGTGTACTGTACTGTTTTAGGCTTTCTGTGATAGGTGGCTTACTGTTACATATATTTTCTCAGGTTGAAGACCATTGATGTCGTGATCAGAAACACCAAAGACGCAGAAGACACACTCAAATCCTACGAGACTCGACTTCGTGAAGTTGGAAAAGTCCCAGCCAGTAAAAAAGAAGTGGATGAGCATCGCAGTCAGCTCAAGGTCTACTGAAATAGTTATTTTAAATGTGCTTCAGCATAAAGGCATACACATTACACACATTACAATTACAATGAAATTAATTGGACTGCTATACTCAACACTTCTTATTCTGAATTATATTTACATTATTAAATCTGTTTAGTGTCATCAAAGCCTCTATGATAAATGAGTGGACTTGTCTCAATGGAGATATTATTGCTTTCCCTATGTTCCACAGTATAGTATTATTTAGCTCCATGGTGAAAAACAGGTGCCACCACCAGACCAAGTTAAAAATGTAATCTGTAGAGAGGTACACAGTAAGAATGCATGATTTTCAAGCTGAGTTTAAGAATTAAAAGCACCTGTAATTCAAAAGTTAGCACCTTTATGAGCAATATACTGCCATATTGTGGAACATTCAAAGCAAAGCAAAATCTTCATGACACAAGTAGATGACTGAAAACAACATATTTCCTTTAAACAAGACAAAATTGATCCAAATGTGTTATGTAGCTGTTATTTATCCTACAAGAAACTTTTGAACAGTTTCATGTAAATAAAAATTCAAACATTACAAGGCTTTCTGGGCCAAATACAACCAAGAAACCACCAGTTTTATTGCATCACTTTATTGGGTGAGCAGATATTTAGAGGCTGATATCCAATCCAGCATTTTTTTCAGTATCAACTTTAACTTCATAATTTTTGCTCAACAGAAAATGCGATCTGAAGCTGAAGCTGACCAGGTGGTGTTTGATCGACTTCAGGATGAGTTAAAGAAAGCTTCAGCTATCAACGACAAAATGAGTCGAATTCACAGTGAACGTGACGCAGAGCTGGAGCACTACAGGGGCCTGGTGGGGGCGCTGTTGGACCGGTGGCAATGTGTGTTTGGTCAGATCGACCTGAGATTAAGAGAACTGGACCTTTTGGGGAGACACATGAATGCATATGGACAGAACTACGAGGCGCTAATGCTCTGGTTAAAAGAGGCACGGCAGACACAAGACAAGATCCAGGCTGTGCCAATAGGGGGCAGTAAGAGCCTTAAGGAGCAGCTGACTCAGGAGCAGGTTAGAGATTGTTGCCAATTTTGTGATATCACTTTTGTCCAGTCAGCTGTCTTGTCATTATAATGATTGGAATACTGACTGTATTTGTTCCAGCTAGTACTTGTTCTAATATATAATAATAATAATAAAAGTATATATTATGTATTATTTATACATTTTATTGTTTGAATTGAAAGAACTTGTGAGCAAAGTATGTTCACAGTATCCTAACCTCTGTTTTGTGTTTTTATGGATCCTAATTTTATGTGGTTATATTTGTAGAAATTGCTTGAAGAGATTGAGAAAAATAAGGACCAGATAGAAGACTGTCAGAAAAATGCCAAGGCTTACATTGATTCAGTCAAGGTACATAATTATAGTTTGAACTTTTATGCCGTTTTACAATATATGGCTAATATTTGTGTTCATGTAGGATTATGAGCTGCTGCTGTTGACTTACAAAGCGATGGAGGACCCCACTGTGTCTCCTCTGAAGAAACCCAAAATGGAGGGTGCCTCTGATAACATAATTCAGGAGGTACCAGTTTCCAATGACAAACACAGTTTAATCAAATATTTGTTATTTCTTAATTGTATATTTTTCTTTCAGTATGTTAATCTGAGAACTCGCTACAGTGAGTTGATGACTCTCACCAGTCAGTACATCAAATTCATCATAGAGACACAGCGCCGCCTGGAGGAAGAGGAGGTATTTGCATTTACTACAATTTTCTATCAAACAAGAACTCATCAACCACTTCTCCCTGCTAACTAGTTAGTGTATGGGAAACTCATTCTTACTAAGTCTTTCTAAAATGTTGGCACAAAAATGATTTAACTTAATAATGGCAAAAAAACACATGACTTTTTAAAATGTCATGCCAAATTATTTTTTTCTAATATTTCACATAACAAATCAATAATAAAAAATACTATGTTTACAATGAATTACAAGATGCATCATAATTTTGTAAAGTCAAGTTAGTCAATTTGCAATATTATAAAAAAATTCACCTTTGATGGTAAAAACACTTCAAAAATTCCCATACAATATTCATTTTAACTACTAGCATCAGCCTTAACTTAGTCATGTATTTACATATCTCCAGTATGTAGCTACATGTTTTAAATAATAATGCCTTGATTTGTTATCCCCATAACCCTTAACATCTCTGTTTCTTTTGCTCCTTTTGCTTTTACTAATACAGAAAGCATCAGAAAAGCTAAAGGAGGATGAGAGGAGGAAGATGGCGGAGATGCAGGCCGAATTAGACAAACAGAAACAAATCGCAGAGGCTCAGGCAAAATCTGTGGAAAAAGCAGAGCAAGAAGCACTACAATTAAAATCTCAAATGAAAACTGAGGCTAGTAAGAGACAAGACGCAGCTGTGGACTCTGAAAAGCAAAAACTAAATATTCAACAAGAGCTACAGCAGCTGAAGACTTTGTCCGACCAGGAAATCAAGTCTAAAAATCAACAACTCGAAGAGGCTGTGATAACGCGCAGGAAGATAGAAGAGGAAATTCATCTTATAAGGATTCAACTAGAGACAACTATAAAACAAAAGACAGTAGCAGAGGGAGAGTTGGAGAAACTTAGGGACAAGGCAGCAGATGCAGAGAAAATTAGGAAAGCTGCACAAGATGAAGCTGAGAGATTGCGCAAACAGGTGAACGAAGAAACGCAGAAGAAGAAGCAAGCCGAAGATGAACTTAAAAGGAAATCTGAGGCCGAAAAGGAGGCAGCCAAACAGAAACAAAAAGCACTAGATGATTTGAAAAAGTATAAAATGCAAGCAGAGGAAGCTGAGAGGAGAATGAAGCAAGCAGAGGAGGAAAAAGTTCGTCAGATTAAAGTTGTGGAGGAAGTTGCTCAGAAATCAGCTGTTGCTCAACAACAGACAGCGAGCTTTAATGAAAAAACATCTAAACTGGAGGAGTCTCTCAAGAAGGAACAGGGCACAGTGCTCCAACTCCAAGAAGAAGCAGATAGATTAAGAAAACAGCAGGAGGAAGCAGACAGGGCCAGAGAGGAGGCGGAGAAGGAGCTGGAGTTGTGGCGTCAAAAAGCTAATGAAGCATTAAGGTTGAGGCTCAAAGCGGAGGAGGAGGCACAGAAGAAGAGTCAAGCACAACAAGAGGCAGAAAAGCAGAAAGCAGATGCAGAAAGGGATGCTAAGAAAAAGGCCAAAGCTGAAGAGACCGCTCTCAAACTGAAAGAAAATGCTGAGAAGGAGCTAGAGAAACAACGTGCTTTTGCCGACCAAATCGCACAACAGAAATTAACCGCCGAACAGGAGTGTATAAGATTGAAAGCGGATTTTGAGCATGCAAATCAACAAAGAGGTCTGTTGGATAGCGAACTGCAGAGGTTGAAAAATGAAGTTTGCGAAACAGAGAAGCAAAGGAAGCAACTTGAGCAGGAGCTGGCGAAGGTGAGAGGAGAGATGGACGCGCTGTTACAAATGAAGGCCAAAGCTGAAAAAGAAACTATGTCAACTTCAGAGAAAAGTAAACAGCTATTGGAGACTGAAGCACTTAAAATGAAGCAGCTCGCAGAAGAGGCAGCCAGGCTGAGGTCAGTGGCAGAAGAAGCGAAAAAGCAAAGACAAGTTGCAGAGGAGGAAGCAGCGAGACAGAGAGCCGAAGCTGAAAAAATACTTAAAGAAAAATTAGCTGCAATTAATGAAGCAACCAGACTTAAAACAGAGGCAGAGGTGGCTCTTAAAGCCAAAGAAGCTGAGAATGAGAGGTTGAAGAGACAAGCAGAAGATGAAGCCTATCAAAGGAAGTTACTGGAAGACCAAGCAGCACAGCATAAACAAGATATCCAAGAAAAAATCACGCATTTGAAGAGTTCGTCCAATTCAGAGCTGGAGAGACAGAAGACCATTGTTGAGGAAACACTCAGACAAAAGAAAGTGGTGGAAGAAGAGATTCATATTATTAAGATCAGCTTCGAAAAGGCAGCTAAAGAGAAAGCAGATTTGGAAAAGGAGTTGAAGAAGCTGAAGGATGTCGCAGATCAAACACAAAAGAGTAAAGATAAGGCTGAAGCTGAGGCGGAAAAAATGAAAAAATTAGCTGCAGAAGAGGAGAAGAAACGTAAAGAGGCAGAGGAGAAGGTGAAGAGGATTAAGGCGGCAGAGGAGGAAGCAGCCAGGCAATGTAAAAATGCTCAAGACGAGGTGGAAAGACTCAAGAAGAAAGCAGGAGAAGCTAACAAACAACGAGAAAACGCAGAGAAAGAGGCAGAAAAGCAAGCTGCTTTAGCAAAAGATGCTGCTCAGAAATCCACTGCTGCCGAACTTAAAGCACAAAATGTCCTCACCAAAAACAAGGAAGATGTTTTGGCGCAAGAGAAGCTACAAAAGGACTATGAAAGTGCTAAGAAACTAGCTAAAGATGCAGAGCTAGCTAAAGAAAAGGCTGAGAAGGAGGCAATGCTGTTGAGACAGAAAGCAGAGGAAGCAGAGAAGCAAAAGAAGATGGCAGAGGAGGAAGCGGCGAAACAGGCGAAAGCTCAAAAAGACGCAGAGAAATTGCGTAAAGAAGCGCAGGAAGAAGCAGCAAAGCGTACTAAAGCTGAGGCAGATGCTTTGAAGCTAAAACAACAAGCTGACGCAGAAATGGCTAAACATAAAAGTGAAGCAGAGCAGGCACTCAAGCAGAAATCTGTTGTGGAAAAGGAATTGATTATAGTGAAATTACAACTGGAAGAAACAGATAAGCAAAAAGGAGTGCTAGATGACGAGCTAAAGAGACTCAAGAAGGAGGTGGATGATGCCGTCAAGCAAAAAGCACAGGTTACAGATGAACTGGCTAAAGTTAAGAAACAAATGGATGAACTGCTGAAAATTAAACTTAAATTTGAGGAGGAGAACAGGAGGTTGATGCAAAAGGATAAAGATAGCACACAGAAATTATTAGCAGAAGAAGCTGAAAAGATGAAAAGTTTAGCAGAAGAGGCGGCTAGGCTAAGCGTGGAAGCTGAGGAGGCCGCTAAGCAAAGACAGTTAGCTGAAGCTGACTTAGCGGAACAAAGAGCTTTAGCTGAGAAGATGCTAAAGGAGAAGATGCAAGCTATCCAGGAAGCAACCAAATTAAAAGCAGAGGCGGAGGAGTTGCAGAAATTGAAAAACCAAGCGCAAGAAAAGGCAAAGAAATTGTTAGAGGATAAAGAGCAGATCCAGCAAAAATTAAACAAGGAAACAGAAGGATTTCAGAAGTCACTAGAAGTCGAACGCAAAAGACAACAGGAGATGTCAGCAGAGGCAGATAAGCTGAAGAAGAAAGTGAAAGAGCTAAGCGATGCACAGGCCAAAGCTGAGGACGAAGCCAGGAAATTCAAAAAACAAGTGGAAGAAGTGAAAGTACAACTCGAAATTAGTGAGAAACAGACTTCTGAAGTGGTGGTGAAAAAACTGGAGACTCAGCGGTTACAGAGTACCAAAGAGGCAGATGATCTGAAGAAAGCAATCGCTGATATAGAAAAAGAGAAAGAGAAACTCAAGAAGGAGGCGGAGGAGCTGCAGAGGAAATCCAAAGAGGTATTGTTAAAAAAAATTAAGGAAAAAAAAAGGATTAGTTAGGATTTTTATAACTTTAAACACTAAATTACAGCAGTATTGGTGTATTGACATGGATGTAAATTGTTGGTGCTTTTAAACACTCGGTCAGATTGTGTGGTTCCGTTGTATAAAGATGTATTCCATTGTCAGTGTATAAACATAAAAGGTGAAATTGTAAGTGAATTTTAAAGACCTTTTTCTGTCTAGGCGTTTGACTAACCACTAAAGAGATACACTGACTATGGAAATAATATACAACTCTAGTAACCTCTGATCGTGTCAGCAGTTACATTTGAATGTCATCTGCACAATACTGCAAAAACTCAAAATGAGATAAAATGTTTTCTTCAGTTTAATATGTAAATTTATGCACTACAGACCAACTTACTTTAGTCTTTTACCATTTATGTACTGATTAATCATAGCTGACAAATTAGATTCTCATGTACAAATACATTTTTTACTCAATTTCATGTAATGAAACAATTCTTTCATTATGTGAAATTATGTTAATATTTATGAAAAAGCACCAAATTAAGTAGTTAGATTATGGTTACACTTCCTTTACAACCTAATAAAAAATGACATAGCTACAAAACAGCTCTCCATGGAGTCGGCCACTCTGGCTGTTTTGTGACTTAAGTGATATATGTTAATTAAGTACTATGTAATAGAGTTAAGTTTCCATTTCTATTTTCTCATTATTGCTTTGTATCCCCCTTACAGATGGCCACCGCCCAAAAGGAGCAGGTGGAGCAGCAGAAAGCCCTCATGCAACAGTCCTTCCTCCAGGACAAAGAGGCTTTACTGAAGAAAGACAAAGAAATGGAGGAAGCCAAGAAGAAACTAGAGAAACAGTTGCAAGATGAAATTAAAAAGGCCAAAGCTCTCAAAGATGAACAAGAACGTCAGAGAAAGATGATGGAGGAGGAGCAGAAAAAATTACAGGCTGTTTTAGATGAAGCCCTTAAGAAACAAAAGGAAGCTGAGGCAGAGATGAACAATAAACAGAAAGAAATGCAAGTGATTGATAAGAAGAGACTGGAGCAGGAGAAACTTCTGGAAGCTGAAAATAAAAAGCTCAGAGAAAGACTTAAGAGCTTGGAGGGTGCTGCTGCTGCTACTGCTGCAAAACCAACCACAACCGAAACTAAAGAGATCGATGTCCAGACTGATAAAGTACAGAGTGAACAGCAGCAACTCGTAACCATGACAACAGTCACAACAACCAAGAAAGTGTTCAATGGATCAGTTGAAGCGGATGGTATAAAGAAAGACAGAGAATCACCTTTTGCTTTTGATGGTATAAGAGAGAAGGTACCTGCTGAGAGATTGCATGAGATTGGTGTTCTAAGCAAGAAGGAGTTTGACAAGTTGAAAAAAGGCAAAGCTACCGTGCAAGATCTCGCCAACACAGATAAAGTAAAGACATGTCTCAAAGGCCAGGGTGTTATTGGTGGTCTTGTAACTCCAGATAAAGAGAAGATTAGCGTCTACCAAGCCATGACCCAAAATAAGATTGAACCCAGTACAGCTACAATGCTATTAGAAGCTCAAGCCGCCACTGGTTTCATGGTTGACCCAGCAAAAAATAGACTTCTAACAGTGGATGAGGCTGTGAAAGAAGAGGTGATAGGTCCTGAACTGCATGATAAGATGTTGTCGGCAGAAAGAGCAGCAACTGGATTCAGGGATCCCTTCACTGGTGCTAAAATCTCACTGTATGAAGCTATGAAAAAGGGATTGATTGAGAAAGAGCCAGCAACAAAGTACTTAGATGTTCAACTTGCAACTGGTGGTATCATTGACCCAGTTAACAGTCATAGGGTGACACTACAGACAGCATACAAGCAAGGACAATTTGATCCAGATTTGAACAAGAAGCTCTCCGATCCAAGTGACGATTGCAAGCTTTTCATTGACCCAAGCACACAAGAGCAGCTGACCTACAAACAGCTGCTTGAAAGATGTACAAAGGATGCAGAAACTGGTTTGTTGATTTTGCCAGTAACGGAGAAAGCAGTTCATCCTGATAGGACCTTCACAGATGCAGAGGCAAAAGAGATGTTTAGTAAGTCAAAATTGGATGTGCCTTTTGGAAGATTCAAGGGGAAAAATGTTACCATCTGGGAGATTATCAATTCAGAATATTTCACTGAAGACCAAAGAAAAGATCTAATTCGCCAGTACAAAACCGGGAAGATTACAGTCGAGAAGATTATCAAAATTGTCATCACTGTTGTTGAGGACAAGGAGAAGAATAAAGATAATGTTTTTAATGGTTTGAGGTCTACAGTTACTGCCAATGAGCTGTTAGAGTCTAAAGTTATCAATAAAGACCTGTTCAATAAACTCAGCAATGGTAAAGTTACTGTTAAGGAGATTGCTGACATGGATCAAGTAAAGAAGGCATTGCAAGGAACACCAAGTATCGCTGGCTTGCTGAACGAACCAACAAAAGAGAAAATGCCTTTCTATCAAGCCATGAAAAAAGATTTACTGTCCCCAGAAACTGCCTTAAACTTCCTGGAGGCTCAAGCTGCAACTGGATTCATGATTGACCCGGTTAAGAACGAAAGGGTCCCAGTTGATGAAGCAGTTAAGTCTGGGCTTGTTGGACCAGAGTTGCATGAGCGACTACTTTCTGCAGAGAGGGCGGTCAGTGGCTATCAAGATCCATATTCTGGTAAAAAGATATCACTGTTTGAAGCCATGAAAAAGGGTCTTGTGAAGAAAGACCAGGGTGTTCGTCTACTGGAAGCACAACTGGCAACAGGTGGAATTGTCGATCCAGTAAAAAGCTATCGCATCCCTCACGATCTTGCATTCAAGCGTGGATACCTTGATGAAGAAACTAGCAAGAGTCTAAACAAGGAAAGTGATGAAACAAAAGTTTATTGCAATCCTAATACACAAGAAGATGCTACCTATCAACAACTTATTAGCAAATGTGTCACAGACAAAGAGACAGGACTGCCCTTGCTTGACGTTGTCAAAGAAGGCACCAAAACCAAAGGAGGAAAAACAGCTAACGGAGGCTAAGACTAAAGAAGCTCTCCAGAAAACAATGGAGCTTGACTATGGGCCATTCAAAGGTAGAAAAGTTACAATTTGGGAGATTATTAACTCTGAGTACATAACAGAAGAGCAGAGGATTGAGCTGATCAGACAATATCGAACGGGACATGTCACAATTGAAAAATTAATCAAGATTGTTATTACAATGGTGGATGAGAGAGAGGACAAGAAGAAAGAAGACGCTCCATTTGAAGGTCTTCGGGCCCCAGTCTCTGCCAATTCTCTGCTAGATTCAAACATCATTGACAAAGCTACATTTGACAAGCTCCAACAAGGTAAAATCACACCTAAACAAGTTAGTGAGAGTGATGCAGTTAAGAAATATCTAAAAGGGACAGACCAAATTGATGGAGTGGCCATGGGAGATGAAAAGATGAGTATTTATCAAGCAATGAAAAAGAACATTTTGCAGCCAAAGACAGCTATGGCACTACTGGAAGCACAAGCTGGTACTGGTTTTATAAGTGATCCAGTGAAAAATCATAAACACACAGTGGACGAAGCTGTTAAGGATGGAGTTGTTGGACCCGAACTTCATGAAAAGCTGCTATTGGCTGAAAAAGCAGTGACTGGATATAAAGACCCATACACAGGAAACAAGATCTCCCTCCTTCAAGCCATGAAGAAGGAGCTTGTCTTGAGAGAACATGCAATTCCCATTCTGGAAGCTCAGTTTTCCACAGGCGGTGTTATTGATCCAATTAGCAGTCATCGTGTCCCTAATGAAGTGGCAATCAAACGTGGATACTTGAGCAAGCAAATGGTCAAATCTTTCAATGAACCTTCAGGAGATGTCAAGTGCTTCACAAACCCAGAAACAAATGAAGATGTTACCTACAAACAATTGCTGGAAAAATGCATAAGAGATCCTACTTCTGGCTTGTGCTACCTGCCAGTGTCCAAAGTAGAAGCTGCACCTGTTGAAAAATCCTACCAGGTTACCGAAGAGCAAGCACAAACTGATTTAGCCAATACCCAAATTGATATTCCAGGAAAAGGTGCGACAGGGAAGACTATGACCATCTGGGAGGTCATGAATTCAAATATGCTGCCAGATAATGAAAAACAAAGGCTTTTGGAGCAGTATCGCCGAGGCCTAATTACAAAAGAACGAATGCTTATCATCATCATTGAAATTATTGAGCAAAGAGAGGATTTGAAGATTGAACAAGGCATGTCCTGTGATGTTATCAGAAGGCGAATTACCATAGAGGAGCTTTACAATGCTAGAATCATTGACTTGAACACGTATAACCTTCTGAAGCAAGAAAAAATGACAATTCGGGAAGTTATGGAAAAGCCCACAGTTAAACAGTACCTCTTTGGCACCGGTTGCATTGCTGGTATTATGTCAGACATGCCTAAGAGAATCAGCATCTATCAAGCAATGAAAAATGGCCAGTTGAAACCAGAAGTAGCTTTGAATCTACTTGAAGCTCAGGCAGCAACTGGATTCATAATAGATCCAATCAAAGATGAATTGTTGACAGTTGACGAAGCAGTACGCAAAGGTTTAGTTGGTCCTGAACTACATGACAAGCTCCTATCAGCTGAAAGAGCAGTCACTGGCTACAAAGACCCATACAGTGGTAAAGTTATTTCAATTTTCCAAGCAATGAAAAAAGGTCTTATCCCAGAAGACTATGCTTTGAGGCTATTAGAAGCTCAGAATGCAACAGGCGGATTGGTGGATCCAGAATACTACTTCCGCCTGCCCAATGATGTGGCAATGCAGCGTGGTTACATCAATAAAGAGACACTGGACAGAATATCAGAACCAAGTTGTGAAATTAAAGGTTTCATTGATCCAACCACAGATGAAAAACAATCTTATGCTCAACTGCTTAAGAGAAGTAGAGTTGATAAAGAAACTGGCATGCGTTTGTTGTCACTGGCTGATCGTGCTTTGCTTTTCAAAGGTCTCAGAAAGCAAATTACAATTGAAGAGTTGTTGCGTTCACAAATTATTGATCAAAAGACATACAATGAACTTTTAGAAGGAACTATCACTGTTGAAGAAGTTAGTAGAGATCTCAGAAAATACCTTGAAGGCACAAGTTGTATCGCTGGTGTCTATGTTGAATCAACCAAAGATCGTCTATCCATTTACCAAGCCATGAAGAAGACTATGATTAGACCTGGCACTGCCTTTGAGCTCCTTGAGGCCCAAGCTGCAACTGGATATGTGATAGACCCAATCAAAAATCTTAAACTTACTGTCAACGAAGCTGTCAAAATGGGAGTGGTAGGACCAGAATTCAAAGACAAACTTCTATCTGCTGAACGTGCAGTAACTGGCTACAGAGACCCCTACTCTGGTAAAGTCATCTCTCTTTTTCAAGCCATGAAAAAGGGGTTAATCCTAAAAGATCATGGTATTCGTTTGCTAGAAGCTCAAATAGCAACCGGAGGTATTATTGACCCACAAGAAAGTCATCGTCTGCCAGTGGAAGCAGCTTACGAACGTGGGTTATTTGATGAAGAAATGAATCAAATCCTTACAGATCCATCAGATGATACGAAAGGCTTTTTTGACCCCAACACAGAGGAAAATCTCACTTATCTTCAGCTCATGGAGAGATGCATGACAGACCCTGAAACTGGCCTGGCGCTACTGTTGCTTAAAGAAAAGAAACGTGAAAGGAAGACATCGTCAAAGTCTTCTGTTCGCAAGAGACGAGTTGTCATTGTAGATCCAGAAACAGGCAAAGAGATGTCCGTCTATGAAGCTTATCAAAAAGGACTAATAGATCACCAAACTTACATTGAACTGTCTGAACAAGAGTGCGAATGGGAGGAGATAACCATCACCTCTTCAGATGGAGTCGTTAAGTCAATGATTATCGATAGGCGATCAGGAAGACAGTATGATATTGATGATGCTATTTCAAGGGGTCTAATTGATAAATCAGCACTGGATCAATACAGAGGTGGCACACTGTCTATTACGGAATTCGCAGACATGCTTTCTGGAAACATGAGTGGAAATAGATCACGTTCTTCGTCATTTGGTTCTTCCTCTTCCTACACTATGAGTCCAATACCGTCAATCAAAACACCAGCTACTACATGGAATGACCCCACAGAGGAGACTGGACCAGTTGCAGGCATCCTAGACACAGAGACACTAGAGAAGGTATCAGTGACAGAGGCTATACATAGAAATCTTGTGGACAATATTACTGGACAGAGATTACTAGAGGCTCAGGCTTGCACGGGTGGCATTATTGACCCAAATACAGGCGAGAAATTTTCAGTCACAGATGCAGTGAACAAAGGACTAGTGGATAAAATCATGGTTGACCGCATCACTCTTGCCCAAAAGGCCTACAATGGTTTCGAAGACCCAAGAACCAAAAGCCAAATGTCTGCTGCCCAAGCCTTAAAGAAGGGATGGCTATATTATGAAGCAGGCCAGAGGTTTCTTGAAGTCCAGTATTTGACTGGTGGATTGATCGAACCAGAAGTTACCGGTAGAGTCTCTGTTGATGAGGCTGTGAGGAAAGGGACGTTGGAAGCACGTACTGCACAAAAACTCAGAGATGTGAGCGCTTATTCAAAATACCTCACCTGCCCCAAAACAAAACTGAAGATCTCCTACAAAGATGCCATGGATCGGAGCATGATTGAGGAAGGGACTGGCCTGAGGTTGCTAGAAGCCTCCTCTCAGTCCAGTAAAGGCCTGTACAGCCCCTACAGCATCAGTGGCTCTGGGTCAGCCACCGGGTCCAGGTCCGGGTCCAGGACTGGGTCTAGGTCGGGGTCTCGTAGAGGAAGCTTCGATGCCACAGGCTCTGGCTTCAGCAGCACATTCTCCTCCACCTCCTACGGGGCGACATCCTACAGCTCCTCCGCCTACGGCTCTTCCACATCCTTTGGCTCCCCTAGTTACACGCGTCGCTTCTGAGGACTGTCACCAGACGCCTAAAACAGTGGAATAAAGACGACCTTTACTCTGCTCTGCATGTAGTTGTTACAAAGATTTAGATTTATTTTATACAAGCTGAATTATTTTGTTAGATGTATATTCTTTATTTACTTGTGCTTTCTTATCAGAGTTGATTGTATTTAGCAGATGGCATACAGAGAACTCAAATATGAAACTGTTAAAGAGTTATATCAATTATGTTCTTAAGACTGGAATTAGTTTTATTTTGACAAAGTGCCCATCTATGAATAAAATTTGGTTGTACAATCTGTATATATTTGTGGAATTAGACAATTATTATAAAGAACGATTTATTAGCTACTCTGCAGAGCAGAATTTAGTCCCCGTGAAAAAACACATATATTTTGAAATGCCAAGCTTCAAGATCTGCTTCTCAAGTTCACTGCTGACCATTAAACTGAACTCTGGATTACACTGCAGCAAAACAATTCAAAACTAATTCAAACAAAAGAATGGACACAGTTCCTGGATGGATCCAAACAGTTCATTCTAAAACTACCAATAATTAAAAAGTCCAGACAATGACTGACATTTCAAAAGGTAAGTCTAATACGTTTATGCAAATCAGATGGTTAAGTTTGGATGAATCCTCATTGTTCCTGTTTGTGTCCACAGTGTCTTCTCCTCGGCTTCCTGCTCACATGTCTTCCTCCAATTCTTGGCATTTATTTTAACCAAACCACTGTAAACAGATATTTTATATGAATTTTATTGAAAAGCATGTGCTAAAGTAATATTTTAATCTATTGTTTTTACAATGGACCATTTTAACACTAGCAACTAAAAGACCTTAACCGAGCTTCTGTAAGTGCCTGCAAATACTCCGTATCACTTTAAAGCAGTTTAGTAGCTTAACTTGATGGTGCAGTGGTCCCACTGTAAACTGACTGATGCATGACTGAACGAGCAGCTTCCCAATGTTTTCAGGTTAAAACATTTGTACTGTCGCTATCACAATCCGTACACAGGGCTAAAACCAATGAATGTTTGTATCTACATGTGGCCCATTTTAGTGGGACTTCTCATAGACACATATTGTACTGTATATTAAAGATACTTAGAGCACTAATGCTGAAAGCCATTCGTTAACATTGTTTTGAAAAAAAATATTTTGCTTTGCACCACCTCCAGTATTTGTTCATCCACTACATGTGCATTTATTTCATGCATTTTTTTTTTGTTTGTTTGTTTTTTGTTTTGTTTTTTTGCTTGTTTTTAAAGCAATAATTGAAACCATATTATTTTCTTTTCATTTTATTTCTGCTTTGCATGATACACTAACATTTAAAGTGCAGAAACAAAAACATGTTTATGTTTCAAAGGTTTGAAGGAAGTATTTTATTGATGGTTATCAAACCTGAACGGTGTATTTATAAAATGGTGACAAGGAATTTTACTGTAACACCTTATGCTATGTAAATAAACTAGGAAATGAACAACTGTCTTATTTTTGTTTATTTCCTTTGAGGGGTTATATGACTATAAATGTAGAGTAGTATATGCTTACCAACAGGCTGTAGTCCCGGGGGTATTAAACACAAAATTAATGAACTGACGAATTCAACAATATTATTATTATTATCGTGTTATGTTTTGAAAACAACTTTAATTTCAAGGGACTTTCTGAGATTCCATCTAGTTATGTTATTAATATTACACTCCAATATGGCCAGTCTTACTCCTATATTATTTTATGCAGCTGTATCAGTCACTATTAGAGCACATGTTTATTTATTGGTTTTCTATTTATAGGTGTGGGTTTTCTTTCTGTACAAACGTGATGAAACAGTTATACATTTTGCTTAATTTAAACCGCATAATATAAAATATAATTAGGTTAATGTACACTTAATGGTCTCTATAGTGAAAATTGCCATCCAAGTGCCGTCCAAGAATTTTTGAAGCTAATGAAGTAATTATTAATTATGCATAACACTGATTAAAAATTTCGAGAAACTATCCCTTGATATCGCCACCAGCTCATTAATTTCCATGAATTAAACTGTATAGATCCCACCCTTTTAAAGTGTCTCCCTTGACAATACACTGGCTCCTAAATAACAGGGAGGTTTAGGTCCCCAACTTACCAACGCCAAGGAGGATGATGGGAAAGTGACAACACAACAACAAACATCATCAAGCACTACACTCGACGCAAAGGATCTGCAGAAACTATGGACTTCTCTGGAACCTGGAAAGTTTATGCTGAGGAAAACCTGGAGGAGTTTCTTAAAGCAGTCGGTAAACACTATGTTATTTATTTTTAAATAATTATATAAATAACTTGGAAAAATCAGACTAAATGGGAGTTAGACTGACTTGAATTCAGAATGTCTTGCATTGTTTGATTAGATGGATTGCATGTATATTTTTGACATACAGAATAATAGACAGTTAGAGAAACACTGTAACTTATGTTAGAGGGTCCGAAACCTGCTTGTCTACATAGAGATGTTATGTTCCACAGTGGCATTAATTGTCTTCATCAAAACAGTTGACTACACCAGACCAAGTTAAAGGTCAGACCTGCAGAACACATGTTTTTCAAGGAAGCAATAAAAACACCTAAAATTAAATAAATGCAAGATAATAGAGAAAAGCAGGTGTCAGAAAAAGTTACATAATGCACTTTAATTTAGCTTGAAATTATAACTGAAACTACAAGATAACACAACTGGTCTCTCATACAGACACATATCCTTAAAATGCCCATATTACACTGTTTTCTGATTTATGTTATAATGTTGTTTCCTAATTAAATACATACTTGGAGTTGTTTTTTGTTTTATTCATACGTTTAACTCATAAACCCTGCATATTTAGGCTCAGTTCTTCTCTCAAATTGAAAATACTCTGTTCCACCTTGTAATGTCATGTGGTACATGAAGTGCCCCACTGGCCCCACTGTTTTTCTAAACGCCACACACTTTCATTAGAATCATTTAGATAATTTCAACCCTGGAACCGACAATCTCTACTGAACTAAATGTTAAAAGTATCTGTTCATTTGAAAACTATCACTACATGACATCACAAGGTGGAACATTTTGAGCTTTGGAGATATAGACAGACTAGTAATAAAGGGTTACTCAAACATGTGTGAATGAAACAAAACACAAGTCCAAGTATGTTTTTGATAAAGTAATAATATTATAACATGGCTTAAAGATAACATGACCTTTAACAGTCAAAGCATGATAATAATTCTGACGCCTTGGCTGATGTGAATGTCTTCATTAGGTGCACCTGAGATGGTTGTAAAAATGCGTAAAGAAATTAAGCCAACAATCATAATAGAACAAAATGGCAAAGACTTTACCTACACCATAAAAACTCCAGTCCGCACCACAGTCAACTCCTTCAGCATTGGAAAGGAGTCGGAGATCACTGGACCGGATGGGCGCAAGTTTAAGGTGAGTTCAGTTTAAAAATGAGGTCATGAAATAATAAACAGAAAAACATATACTTTAATTTACTTAAAGGTGCACTGCATAATTTTTCCAGTGAAGGATATGCCGCTTGCTCATCTCCATGGAGATGTACACTCTATTGCTTTTAAAGTGAATAAAGTAAATCTCTGTGGAGACAAGCATGCGAGACCATCAGACAGGTGACAGGTCAGATCTGGGGAAAAATAGGAAATGTAATAAAGGCAAAATAGATATATGTGGAAGCAATAGCATCTTCATGAGACAAATATTTGAACCTTCACCAGAAAAGTTACATAGTGCGCCTTTAAGTTGGCCTTTTGTTGGCCTTTTGTTAGCAGTAGTTGTGATAATAACTTTACTACTACTACTTTACTACAACTACTAACTACTAGTGTCCACATCTTATCATAATGCATGAATATATACAATAAAACAAGAAAAGAGTAACAGTAGGTATAAATACTTTTACCCGTTTGATAGTATGTAGTATATAAAAGTAACTAACTGCGTTTTTGAAAGGGCGCATTCATTTTAATAAGTAAATATTACATATTTCTCTATTTAGTGCATAGTCAAAGAGGAAAATGGGAAACTGATCACCGAATCAGACAAAATCACCTCCATCCGAGAGATGCAGGGAGAGGACATGGTCGAGGTTATTACATTTTTCTCACAAAACAGATGTGTTTTTAATGAAAACTGAATATTTTTAACTTTTTTTTTTTTTCTAGAAAGTGACTACAGGCTCTGTCACATTCATCAGCAAGAGTAAACGAGTTTAAACTTTGGTCTGAGTTTGATGAAACAAAAAAAAGGAAAAAAAAAAAAAAACACAATAAACAATCATATAAATGTGTGAAGAATTTTGACTACAAGCAATGTAACAATAGGCCTAAGCTTTCAGGTCTCTAATGCATATGGTATCATTGGAAAGTTTAAAGAATAAAAAAACTGTTGTTGTTGTTATTTATTTGATTCTTTTGTTTCACATTAAAATATCTTATCCCTTTCACCGAGAAGAACAATTATTACTGACCCATCCATTACTGCACAGTACTACCATAAATTCTGTTATTTACTGGCCGGCAGGGGGCAGTAGTGATCCGCTTTGCTCTTGTCTCTGTTTGATTTATGTGCAGAATCAGCCCTGGGCGCTCCCTCAGTGCGCATGTGCGGTGCATTCTTTAGCTCCAGATTTTCCATTGCTAAATTCTTCTACATAAAGTGATTTAACTTTAAATTTAGAGTTATGCGGCCTCCAAATACCTCATTGTTTGTCCGGAACATCGCAGATGAGTCCAGGTGAGTGCAAAAATGCGACTATTTTTTGAAAAATGCCAAACAGCTCTCCCAAATCATAGCTTCAGCCGGAGTTTTGCGAAGCTAAGCAAAGCGTGTTTGCACCATTTTAACTTAGCTAGCAACATCAAATGCGCAACTTTACATCGAAAATACTGTTTTTAATATATTACAGAATAAGCAAAAAGCAGTCCCTAAAATCAGTAAAGAAAGCCGTTGTGTGTTTAGTTGCACATATCCACGTATAAGTGACTGAGTCACAGACGCGTAGCTTTCATATTCATGCTAAAGCGGCTAATGTTGTCTACGTGGAAGCATTTTGGCTAGCGAAGAGACAAAACGTGATCACACTCAACATTTTTCACTACCAAAAAACTAAATTTAGGTATCCACCTCGTCTATGTGCACCAACATTAATGGTATACACTCAAAATTTTGTTAAAATTAACAGTTTCGGTATTTTGTTGGGTGGCTGTATATCCTAAGATATGCGCTGTTTATATATTTAACTTTACTGCTTCTTTCCACGGACATACCTTTGTTTTGCCCTGAAATGTTCAGAGTGTAGCATTAAACATGCCCAACTCTATGGAGACAAGCTGTTTTCACCACCACGTGAAGGTACAGCTCAGGTCACCGTAAAAGTGCATGTTTTTCAAGGTATATGTTTGAGCAACAAACCATGTAATTGATTTGACTTTAATGCCATACTATGGAATTTTCCAGCCAAAGTAATACCATCTCTAAGGTGTCCAAAATCCTTACATAGTACATCTTTACAAAAATTGGATCAATATTTCACATGCCAATAGAATGAGTCATAAGTAAATGTCATAGTTTAGCACAGGTAAGTCTTTTAAATGGTTTATATTGTTTATAGACATACTGTAGCAGGTGTTGCCTTTTATGCAGTTGAGTTATATTTGTATTTACGGTGTTCAGGCCTGAGGATTTGCGGCGTGAGTTTGGCCGCTATGGGCCCATAGTAGATGTCTACATCCCTCTTGACTTCTATACACGACAGCCCAGAGGATTTGCATACATTCAATATCCTTTGCCAACAAGTGCTTATATTTGCAGTGCCTAACAAATACTTCTCTCACCAGGTTTGCTGTTTTGTCTGTTGTCTTTTTGCACATGATTTGATTAAATGTCTAACACACTACTATTTCTCTGTTATTGCTTCAGAAAATGTAAAAGCATCCAGTTGTGGAGCGGCCACAAAGAGTTACAAAGACCCATTAGCTGTATTAGCCGTAAAGACAAAGAGGCCAAAGGAGGAAAAGAGAGAGGGGGAAAGTTTGAAAGACAAAGAAAAGAAAGTAAAGCATGAAGAGGAAAAGGGGATCGGAGACAAGGCTTGGAAAAGGTTTAAGACAAGAAAGCAGGAAGTCTGTCTGCGAATCGATTAAAGGGTTAAAGATCAAGATGAAGTCAAAGTCAAGTCAAGGTAACAAGTCTGTATTGTTTTGTATCCTCCCAAACCGATTTGACACCAAAATCAGCTGTCCCTTTTATATCCAAGACACTGTCCTTTTAATCAAAACTAATGATCAATTATTATTATCAATCTGCACTGTTTTGATTTGCTCGTTTGTCAATTTTCAGAAGTATATGGAACAGCTTGCTGCTTCTAATCTCTGCAGAAAGCCATGTGTTGACACTGTCTTAAGTCACAAACTTAATGCACGCATGAATAAGCCTGCTAAAATTATTGAACATAAGATTGACTAAATGTAGTTTATGAAGTCATTTTGACAAACTTATTTCCTTGTTTAAATAATCCAGGAGTTAATTAATGTTATGTGACCTCACCCAAGCCGCAAAACCCTTAACTCAGCAGCACATTTGAAGACGTGCGCGACGCTGAGGATGCACTCCACAGTCTGGACAGGAAGTGGGTCTGTGGCCGACAGATCGAGATACAGTTCGCCCAGGGTGACCGCAAAAGTGTGTATATAAATTTAACTATGGATTAAACATAAATAATGAAGGTCTGAGTCACTGACTGCAGCTCTGTTTACAGCACCAAACCAGATGAAGTCGAAGGAGCGGCGATCACCAGGGGGACGCTCTCCAGGACGATCCTCTCGCTATGACGACTATGATCGAGACAGTCGCCGTCGACGATCACGCAGTCGTAGCTACGAGCGGTATCGCTCCCGCAGCCCTTCATATGACCGCCACCGCCGACGCTCTCCCAGCCCCCGAGAGTGAGTCGTCTGCCAGAACAGTCTCCACTTAACTGTGTATTACACTATATAGTTAAGATGACTAAATACTTAAACTTGTGTTTATTCAGATCTCACCGAAGACGAAGGAGCAGAAGTCATGAAGATGCCGGGTGAGTAACATT